CCCACACCCACACCCACACCCACACCCACCCACACCCACACCCGCACATCTACGTGCATCACATTTACAAGCCATACGACATGTATAAAAAAATACAACATTATTTCAATTAAAAGAACTTCTATTTCGTGATTTTTATTAATACGATGATCCACAAATTTTCAGACAAGTTCATATGGGCAAATTAAATTTAGAAGAAAAAAATAATTGTAAATCACGTCAATAGAATATAAAACTGATGAAGAAAAACAAACATCAGCATAATTATATTTATATGATGGAGATACGTTAGATATTGGTAATAAAAATTCATTGTAAGTTGTGCCCTATTCAAAAATATTTTATTATTTATTTAATTTTTATTCTAATGTACTAGGTAGTAAAGATGCTCTATCAGATATTGGAAACACAGGAAAAAATCATTTATCATCAACTATTATAAATAATATTGATACAACAAATCCAAAAGCCAATGACATGTAATTGCTGGAATACTACAGTAGTTTTTAGAAAAAAAATTATTTCCCACAATGAAGTTACCTTTATCTTTCTAGCTTATTGGTAATGTTAAATTAATGTCAACTAAGCCATTTCGTTTATCATTAGATTCATCTATGTGTCGTTTAAATATTGATGATATTTCTGATCTAGCAGACATTGCTCGTATGTTTGATTTTCATATAAGAAAAAATTTATTATTTTTTTTCTGTTTAATATTAGTGTATGATCATTAAATAGTACATACAATAGACTTCAGAAAAATAAAATTCTCCTTCGTATCCAATCTGATCGAGAACCTAATTTACTGGAATTTAGCGTTGATATTAATATAACATTAACTGATTTATGTAATTAAATAAAACAAAAATTACATATGGATGGTAAAATAGAAAACAACTAAATTTCATCATAATAGAAATGACGTTTCTTTTTGATTTTTACTAGATAGTGATAATGAACATCATTTATGTGAAATGAAAACACCATTAATCAATGATGGTATACCATTGAATGATTTTAATCTAACTCTTTTAGTCAATGGACTTAAAAATGGTGTTGAATTAGCTATACGATCTGGTAGTCGTACATCAAGAAATCATGTTCGCTTGAAAGTTTTTAAAATTATTAATCAATACTAGTAACCACAAGAAGCGAGTATGAAGAAATTTTATTTGAAGAAGACTCTTCTAATAGTCATTATTATTTCTAAAGCAGAGAATAACGTAAACCAAATTTTTTTGAGTTCGGTTACAGTCAATAATAATCTTAAAGAAAGCATTATGCACGTTTCTTAACAGTCGATCATTACAGTTTCATTGAAGATTAAAAAATTGTTTATTTGAATACCTATGATGATATATCAAATCTTACAACAACTTAAGCACTAGTTGATGTCTTACAATAATGTTTAGGAATACATCTAATACACTTTTCAGGTTTTCTTTGAAAATTTAAATCGATACCAGGAGAGTACAGTATTTGATATTGCGATATCTTTTTATGATGAACATGTTTGAATCTGCTCAAGCTCATCTTAGTTTTAAATGGGCTAAAAATTCACTTTTTTTGAACGTTTTTCGATATTGATTCCGAATTTAATTTTCTCATATGTATCTATTGTTTTTATGATTATATTTCATTAATACTGTATTTTGTAATTAAAGTTTGGTCTCATAGAAAGTAAATGCATTTTGAAAATACAGATTTTTATCTATTCTCTTATGAGATCAATTTATCAAACGACATTATTAAAACAATTAAAACCAAAATAAATTGAGGTTTATTGATTTTGACTTCAAAGAGAGGAGCATAATATAACTCTAAAGGTTATATTCTTGTTCATATTAAATAGAATTTTTAAGGACATTGAATTTCACAGATTTTTGTTGAAAATAAAATTCTTTAATCGAATGATTAGTCTTTATTAAGGCTTTTATCTGTACTACTTAAAAATTATAAATATCTATAAAGACTCAGTACATAAGTATATTCGTTACGTTTTAATACATACTCGATCAAAATTTAAAATACTTGAACTGCCAAAACGTTTTGAATTACCAGTTACATCTTCACTCAATGTTCTCCGTGAACGTATATAGCTAAATCACTTGAATTAATCAAGTGGCACTCAACTATTAGAGCTCATTCGCTTTTATGATATTAAAGATAACCAACCAACATCAGTGGCTCATGAACCTGTACTGACTACTTTCAAATGAGCAAATTATTTTCTCAAATAAAAAGTAAAAATTAAAGTATTTTTTCTACTTTTATTTAGGCAAGCAAAAGTACGCGGTTTATGTTCTTATGCTTTTAAAATCTTATCTCATCCAGAATATATGTAAAAAAAAACTTACTTCTTAACATTTTTTATTCAAAAGAATATAATAATAATTATTTTCAGCATAGATTTGAACTACTGCCATTAAGAGATAATTTAACTGTTAAATATGATTATTTAGAGCAACATATTTTATCTCATTTAAAATCATTATTAAACAATAACATAAATAAAATAACATTGGCGCGTTATTTTCCTGAACGTGGACAATGGATGATTATTAATCCGTCAGCAATTACTAAAAAATGAAAGTACTTAGTGCAAATCTTAAAGATGAACCATATAAATTACCTGATTTTATTGTTACTGGCGTACCTGAAGATGAATATTTGATAAATGAAGATTTCGGCGCCGATTTTGACCAAATAAAATGAAAAGCGCTTGATCTTGAAAAAGAACAAAAACAAATGAATCGCGAAAGAAATCGAACTGACAATGATCGTAATCAATAAAATGGAAGTAGTGGATGTCGAAAATCATCACAAAATACAATGGGAATTGATGTTGATGTTGATAATTTTGATAATTAATCTCTGATTTTCACATTGTTTTTCAATATTGCTTTTAGGTATTACAAATAATTCAAGCTAAAGAGTATACGCGAAACTTAAGTACTACTGATAAAATCATACTAGAAATAGTATGATAATATTTGGCTCGAAAAATGAAATATGATGTTTTTCATAAGAATTTAAAAACTTACTTATACTTTTTCCTGACTGTTTCATTCTTAATGATGGCTTTTTTAATTTAATATTACTTCATCGGATTAATTTTGATTTTTTACAGCTGCCACTAAGGCTTCCTGATTTACGTGTTGCATTAGATGCTAAAAAGAAGATAATAAAAATAAAAATCATATGTATATTAAACTAAAATAAATCTTTTATATCCTACTTCGTTGTTCAACATTTCCTAACGATGAATTTCCATCAATAATAACAACTCCATCTTCATCATTCATCATAACAAATGTATGATTAATATCATTTGAATTATTTTTTTTATTAACAGCAAAATAAATATGTCTTTCACTTAATAATGATGGATTCATATTAATTACTGTTGCTGGTATTGTACTTAATACAGGTGGAATTGTAACTGATGATACTTGTGGTGAAACTGATATGTTAGGAAAAAAATAAAACAAATTAAGAATTCTTTTTTTTAAATAAAATTCATACGACCTGGATATCCACTTGACATTGATGTTGAACTTCTATTTGATGTCTGAGAAACAACACTATCCATACGTATACGATCATTTTAACGTTTATCTGTTAATGACGATGATGTTTCAACAACAGTTGGTGGTGCACTTGTTGCTTGATTATTTCTACGTTGTTGTGATTGTTGTTTTTGTTGAAAATTATTATTTGTTGTCGACATTGTTGAAAGTTTTGGTAATTTATCATATGTTTCACGTAAAAATGATGTAATTTCACAATGAAGTAAACATCCAATAATATGTAACGAATATGAACAATCATGACCTGAACGGTTAACAACCACTAAACAAAAATAAAGAAATTATTATTAAGTATTAATATATTAAATATATTTAAACATAAATATAAATATATTCATACACATACACACACAGACATATATATATATATATATATACAGACATAAAGCTGACGAAATACAACAACGTGCACGATTAAGTATCATGCATTTGTACCTTCATTATAGTAATCTTCATATGTTTCATCACTATTCCATAAAGTCGCTCCTACTCCTCCTCCTCCTATTCCTGTTTCTTTTGTATTATTATTATTATATGTCGCTAATTGTTGTTGTTTATTGTCTAATATTGTTTCAAGTCGTGATGAAAGGGCCTTTTATTTTAATTTAGTATATTATTTTTAGATATATTTATTTATTAAAAAGAATTATTTTAATAACCTTCTTCACCTCATATATAAAACATTCTTGTTACAGCTGCTAGATATAATTTTGTAAGTCTTGCATTTATATTTTCTGTTGCACATGCAGCATATGATTCATGAAGACAAAATGTTGTCATATTAAAACGCATCCACTCTGACCATTGACCTAATGAACAATGACGAACAAAATTAGCACATTGAACAAGATATGCTGCTTTTGATATAACGGGTGAATTCTAAGAAAAATATTCGATTTATTTTTTCAATTTAAAATATAAAATAAAAATAATACAAACCAAAATAAGAACACTATTGAAAAGTGTGGATCAGGTAATGAATCAAGTGGACATGATTCCATCATAAAATTTAAACGTAATAAATCCAAACGTACAAGTGTTAAATCAACAGGTAAACTTTCTTCTTGATGTGTATATAAACTATGATCATCACCACCTATTAATGATCCGGTTCGTGTACGTGCATCTTTAAACATAAATATAATAAGTTAAATTTTTCATTTTCATATGTTGTATATATATATATTACTTTTTAATTTCATACTAAATGCTGATGATGCTATATTTGGTGTTGATGCCTCATCAGTTCCAACTGCTT